CACACCCATTGGTCTTTTCTTACTAACCAGTTCCTATAAAAAAGTATGCACTAATAATTATAAATAAACCAATTTGCATGCTAACAGATTTCTGAACTGTATTTGCAACTGATATCACATCAGGTACACTAGCTTCATGTGACTGGTCCTCCTAATTATAAGCATATGTAAATAACAAATACCGTACATATGAATCATATTGTTATACCTCTTGATCAAGTTTAGATTTGGCTCCAGCTTTGTCCTTCGATGTTGTTTCCACCTATATAATTTACAACGTAAACAATAATGGTATGATGAATTATAATGTGATTAACCTTCTCAGTAAACCAAACTTTCTCTTTTTCTGTCAGTGGTCGATGTATTCTGTTTACTTTACAAGTAATTGTAGGATGTCTGGCTTGATGCTTTGCTTGTCTGAGAAAATGAAGCTTAGAGGAGACAGGACAGCCATCACAGATGTAATGTAGTGATCTTGATACGGAATATTTGGGTAATTCTTCAAAACCTCTTCCAATGCAATTCTGAAGAATGTTCTCCACTTCTTTAGTGGAATCTTCCAACAGAATTAAGATATCTTGACATACATTGGCAAGAGGAACTGGATTGGTGTGAAAAGTAGGTCGATGAACATTAATCTGGATGGCATCATGTTGATCAGTAACTGTCAAGTGTTCAATGCTTCTATTCTTTTCATCCTCATAATCAAAAGTAACATGATTCCTATATACTCCTTCTTCAAGGTACAGGGTTGTGTTGGGGTGATTGGCTATAACAGCAACAAAACGAGTGAAGAAACCAGGAGGAACAAAACCAGTTTCAAATGTTATATGAAGTGGTGATGCAACCTCCTTGCTGTGCAGACTTACAGCATTATCTTCACACAGCTTGAGAATGGCAGGAACAAAATACTGCTTGTGTTGCGAGGAGCAAATATCTTGATCTTCAATAGTAACTTAAGCAGCAAGGCAAAAGTGAAGCAATACTTCAATGAAATCTTCAGGCTTAAGATCTCCACATTCCTTCCAGACTGATGTATACAGTGGTTGTGTGAGGATACCATATTGATGAAATATCTCCCACTCCTTGGCATGTGTAGTGCTGGCTTGAAATGTGAAGATAATTCCAAGAGCATCAATAAAGAACTTTGGATCAACTATGACTTTCTCTCTCAGGCCTTCTAGCTGAGGATAATAT